CACAAAAACGAAAGCTTAAAATACAGAAGTTCCAGTTCAGTTTCCTGAGTTACCTCAGTTATCTGGCTGAGTAAGTGCAAAGGAGCTACAAGAATAATTTGTTTTCGCAAATTACTGAATTTCAAAGGTGTTGACATCCTTTACAGATGATGCTTGAATTGTGCCACCTTCAATTTAAACAAGCACCCTCTGCTCTCAGTACTTGCCTTTATCAAAATCCAGCCTTGATGCAGCAGTAGTTAAATGCTGTTTTGACAAGGATGGAGTTCCTCTGGATCTAAACTCTACGGTGTAGCATTAGCCACAGTCAATTTTAGTGCTCTGCCAAGTGCCAGAGGTATTATCAGACATACTCTAACATTTCCTTTAAAAACAAGTGAGCAAAATAAACAAAAAACCTTTAACAAAACAGAAACTTTCCATTTTTAAGAAGAAAGTATGGGTTCTGGTTATCAAGTACAGTCATTGTATATCATCTGGCATGTATCAATTGTACAGCAGCACTCTGGTGTAAGCCGTATTTTTCTGCTCCCTGAAACATCATAAGGAAAAATACCTTCCAGCCCAGGGAGAGAGAGATCAAAAATAACCCACTGATCTGTGAATGTGCCAATCTAAGGTTTTATGTTCAGGCACTACATCTTGCAGAAGACAAAAACGTAGATTTCTTCAGTATGTCTTGGTTGTATGCACACTTCTACTGTATTTCTTTGCTGTACCTTCAAATTGTGCATGCTGCCACACCCGTCACGCTTGTCACAAAGTATTTAAGTTACACGTACAGTACAGTTCCTCAGTTCCTCTCAGTTATTAGATTTCAAAGGATTCAGGGTCTCTGAGGAAGAGGGTGATGAGATGAATACATTTATGCACAATACACCCTGGAGAAACCACATTACCAGTATATATCGTCTCTAAAAGGTTCTGACTCAGCTCACGTTGTATTAGGTGGCACACAGAGACCGGTTTGTCTTCTGATAGTTAAGCAGGCTGGCACTAGAGCAATGTGTCAAGAATGTAAAATTCCCCAGGGAGAAACACGCAAGTGGAAGTGTCTAGCGATGACCAAAATAGCTTTGCCAGAAGAAAGGCAAAGTTTAATCCCAATGTGCTTGTGAAGTTATCTTCCCCTTCAGAAATGATGAAAAAAGAAAAGGAGGAAGAAAGTAGATTTGCAAAGGAAAAAGCACCAAAAGAAGCCAAAATGGGATAGCCAAAATGGTCAAGAAGCCAAAATGGGATAGAACAACAGTCACACTACTCCAGAAAGGAAATAAAAATAAAATGCATTTCAAGAGAAAAAACACAAAAAAAACCCACAAAAAAAAACAAAAGGAAGAAAGGAGAACGTCTCTGGAATGAGGACTGACGGTGCACACTATCTAACACACCACAAGAAGAGAGAAAGCATGTGCATGTACACATGCACACGTATGTGACCTACGAATAACATTCAGCAAAATGTCTATGTCTTCCAAGGGCTAGCAGTACCCACACACGATCATTTAGAAACACTAACTCCTACACATGCTGCTCTATAGGTACTGCAGGTTGACGCAACCATTGACTTGAGGAAATTATCTCAAGGTTATGAAATTCATACCCTGCAATCCTTGTCATCTTCTGGATGTACTATCCTCCAGCTGCTTTACTCAATCAGAATAAATAGGAGCTTTCCACGTCTGAGATTTGACCATCATGGCAACAAACAACCGTACATTAACCAACACTTGTTGCAGTTGCGAGCAAAGTTGCATTGATACCTTGGGGGTTTTTTAACAAAATAAAATCTACCTGTTACCATCAAACACTTTCAGACTTGGCACCAGAACATATTACTCTTCCAGTTACAATCACAGCAGTATCCAAAGTTTTGCAGATGGTAAGATTTAATGTGACAAGGTGATAATGAACTGAATAGTGTTAAAGGGCAAATTACTTCGGGCTGTTCACACAGGGTGCAACCATGTATGGTGTCAGGCAACCGTAAAATACCATGCCTTCAGTAACAGCCGCAAATGTAAACCCAATAAGCAGTTCTTTGCATGTTTTGGGGACTTTTTTTTTTCCTGTTTTACTTTATAAATTACATACATCAAACTGACTTTCACAAAAAAGAAACAAAGCCTGGCTAATCTTCCTTTTTCTACTTTGCAAGTCCTCTTTTTCTGAATAACATGGAGGTGCTGAAAAATCTTTCTCGTTCCTAAGCCAGATCCTTCCAATAATTGACCATTGACTCCTGCCAAATCTCCAGACACACTTCTTTCCCACCACGTGCTATCCTGAGAAGGACCTCTTTGAAGCACTGAGCTAAATCAGGGGTCTCTCTGCTTTGCTTTACATACCAGTCACAGCTCCTTCATCCGCAGTGCAGCGGGACAGGGAAAGGGCAGTTCCATGGCTCCCCTACAGCCTAAAAACGGGACTGTAACTTTTTGCACAAATACCATTCCCCTACCCAACCATGAGTAATTCCAAGTTAATCAGTTGGAATGCTGCAAATGTTTGGTTTTCACATACTGAAAAGAATTGCATTACAAAAGAAAACATTTTTACTCAAAGCTTACATAGTTTATTGTTCTATGGATCGTATATGTGCAAAAATCTCTTGTCTAATTAACGATCCTGAAACTACTTAATAGTGCCACTTAGAGGAGTGGGGACTAATAAGGGTTGAAGCTAAAAGAAAAGGCCATCCCTAAGTAAAAGTAAAAAAGCTTACTGAATTCACTTACTGGCTCCTCTTAAAAAAAAATTCTATACTATAAATAACTTACGTGGCAATATATGAAAGTCACAAACACAAAGTGGTTTACACACCTACCATTCAAAAACTCTGAGACAACTTCATGTCTTTGAAATACACAGTAGAAAACTTGTATCAAAAGAGAAATAAGAAAGTCAGTAAAAATCATCCAGCCACTGAGTCTTCTTAGACTCAAGTACTTGGCATTTTCACCATATTCTGTTGTAAAACAGAACACGTGTTAAGTATTAGAAAGATAAGGGATGGTTTAACTAAAACACACCGGCTAGCACTGGAAAACCACAGAAATACATTATTTGTCTATATTAGGTTTCTACCTAATACCATAAAACATATCTCTCAGAGAAAACTATCGATGCTCTCTACCTCTTTGGAGTACTGTTTGGTGTTTATAAGGATGCACGTATATGACTCCGCATTTGCTCCTCAGATCATTAGATCTGAGAATTGCATGCTATTTTTTTCCTTCTTCATTGCTTTTATGAATCACCTTCCTAGCCCTGCACTTCTTGCCCAGTATGTTTCCCAATGGAGCTCTATCCATACCTCTGCTTTTGGAAAAGACTGCTGCCTTCTACAACACACTACAGGGTTTATTTCTGATCTCACATCTCTTTTTTTTTTTAATATATATATAAACCTTCCACTTCTTGGCACCTTCCTTCTGCCCTCAGTTATATTTTGTGGCTGTGGCCAAGGAAACTTGCAATTTTGCCTCAAGCTCTTTTAGGTAAATCTCTCAGAAAAGCCAACCTTCTGCTGGGCAGAAGTCCTCATGTGCTCTTAAATGTCTTCTTTGCTGCATGTGCATAGACAATAACTGGTGTGCTATCCCTGCCTTTATGTTCTCTGTATCATTCATGCAGGACCATGGCCTAATTTCTACTGCGGAGATCCTTCTTAGCCATTACTATTGCAGCACTTACTTTCAAAGTTCTAACTTTTCCAGAATTTAACAAATAAAAACCACTCCTGTCGATTTTTCTCTCCACCACCTCCCCCACGGAAACATGTTATCTCTTTGCTCAGTTTCCACTGATTTATTGGGTTCTGTTAATTATGCATTCTTAAAACTTGCAATCACTTAAGTTCCCGACAGATTTTATTTGTACCTTTTATAATATTTTTGTGCGAGAACCTTCTCCTCTGCAACTTCTTACTTTGGTTTTTCTTTCTTTCTGCTGCTGCGTTTATCTTTCATTCTCATGCTCTCTGTCCTTGCATATTTAATCGTTAACTATATATACGTTGAAGTACCTGGGAGTATAGTCTGTTTGAAATAGTTTACTCAAAATAAAAGGCTATTGCATTTTAAAACACTTTCTGTTAAAAGAGCGGATTTGTTTTAAAGAGAGGCTAACATTTATCACACCAGTAGGAGGAATAATTTTACTCTGTATTTTCTAACCTCTTGAACTGTAAATCACATTCCTAATTACATCAGGTACTCTGAATATCTAGCAGTATGAGGAGCACTTAACTGAAATAATTACGTTTGCTCTACAGTTTTAATTAAGCAACCCACTCAGCTGAAAACTAATAGATTAGTTCCTGTTGCTTGCAATAGGTTTTTTGTGTCACTGCCATGAAAACAGTTAACTTTTACCAACCCAACACTGGCAGTCAAGTATGAAGCTAGTTTATCTTTTCATGAATATTTCTTAACCCAGAACAGGTCTCATAAACCTCTGTAACCTTTTCAAAAGTACCTCAGAGTAAAAGTACAAAGAGATACAAAGATTATTTCAAATGTTTTCCCTTCAACATTACAAATTAATATGTATATCAAAAAATACTAGAACAGAAGGCACATCAGCATATGACAGTTACTTCTAGAAGCCAAAAAGCGTGAAGATAAGAGATACGATTACCATTTTCTGATATTAATTCCTTCAAGCAGAAGGAAACTAGTAAGCTTGACATTGCTTTTTCTCTATTTAAGACAAAGCCCCTAAATATAGATTCTTGACCTTTACACAATAGCGGAAAATGCAGCAAGTTTAATCACTCTTCATCAGGAGTTTTTTTAATGTTATTTTTCTGATCTCGAGTCTTTCATTAAGTTGATTCAGTGATTTGAGAAGTATGAAATCAAGGAAAAAAATGACATCTTAAAATTCGCTGATTTTTAATGCTAAAAGCTTACATTTCCACAAACAAAATTAAATAGCTGTAACATAAATCCTTCTGTGGTAAGAAGCTAAACATGCCAAAATAATTTCCTTCTTACCTCAGCCTTGCGAATACTCTCTCTTGCTTCATCTATTTTCTGCTCCAGTTCTGCTCGGGTTTGCTCAGACATCACAGGCCCATGGCACTCTAGCTCTTCAAGTGTCTGTCAGAAATAAGAAAATACACCACAGATGTAGCAAATGCTAGCAAGCCATTTACATGATAAATACTTATGACAAGTCAGGGAAATTGTTGTTTGATTAGATGCTAGGTTGACTGAGGGAAGTCCATTCCTGGAAAAAAGACGATGACCAAGGCAAAACACCATCTAAAAGCACAGTATTTCACATGGAAATTCCACTTAGGGGAATGTGTCAACATCTTCAAGAAAACATGTGGTATGAATCAACTCATGAATGTGTTGATATTTACAAATTTAAAATGGATATGTTGCTCCACGTCTATGTCAGGTTGAAAAAGAGCATCATGGAGTGAGAAGTTGCTAATGGTAGCCCTGCTGTAGGGGAAGCCAAGACTGGTTTGCTGCATTTGCAGGAATGTTGTGTCCAGAGGAGAATTTGCTGAATTACAGAAGACACGTTGGAGTTTCTTAGTTTCATGTATGTGTATGTTGACTGCATTAGTCCAAATTAAAAATAACAAAAGCATGTGATTGCACAAATCTTCACCAGTTATCTGCAAATCTGTGACTGGTTCAGTCACTATGTATTTTGCATAATATAGTATTTGAAGAAAAAGCAGGAGGAGCAACAGGTGCTAGGACCAGAATCCAGGATCCTCCCTCCTTCCTCTGAGGAGAGTTTTTCCTATCATATTTTGGTTACAGACTCTGTTAATACTTTCCACCCCGTGCTACAACTTCTGTTTTTTGCTATACAGTGACCCAGGTTCAGGAGAAGACAGGTAAGATGGTAAACACTACTTTGGTCTTGCTTCTTGCTTTGTGCATTCTCCTGGGTAGTTTGAGGAATGGCTCAAATCTCTAAAGACTGAAGTGGAACTAGAAGCCAGATCCCCCACTTCCTGCACTGAAGCTCGTTGAATATTATACAATATTACAGATATTATAGTATAGACACATCCTCTTTAACTGAATTTAAAGTTAGGCTTGACCTGAGCATGTGAAACAGATGTTTTTAGGCAGAAGTTAGCACAAGAAGTTAGCACAAGAAGTTAGCTTGGGTCCCAACTTTCTCCAAACAGGAGCATGAGAGCCTTGCCATAGATGTTTAAGGAACTCGATGACCCAAGGAATGCATTTCTACTGGCTGATTTTATTCTCACTCCTAGGCAGTCTCAGCTGCATTCCAAAATACAGCTACCTGAAGCCTACTAGGACGTCCAAATACAGCCCTAGGTTCTTCTATGTTGAGCCACATATTTAGAAATAAATTTATCAATACACACTTAATTTTGTGTCTTCAGATTAGATTTAAGTGCACATTACTCATGGATTTTCCTAGTGTTGAAAAGACTTTTGAAATCCAAATGAATACTTTTTTTTCTATGGGTAATATATACATGATATAGAGGAGATAAGAGGATCCCTGAAACTTTAGTTTGAACAGAAGGACGCTGTGTAGGATAGAGGTAGGTCTGTAAGTTATTTGCAGTAAAGTAGAAGCTGTAACTTCAGATTTATATGGGAATTGACAAACAAAAAGTGTGAGGAGCTGCTCACCTGGCAGTTTGAGTGTACCAAGCCAAGAAAGGATAACATGAAAATGGCAGGTTGCCCGGAGAGATAACAGGACAAAAATAATTCCTGGGTGCTTGTAGCAGCTCCTCTTTCATGCAGCCGGGAGCTGCACCAAGTAAAATCTGGAAACAGAAGTTTTCCTAACCTACCCGTTGACTGTGGATGATGTTTTTGTGCTCACGGGCTACCCGCGTAGCCCATTTCCGAGCCTCTTTGTTGAGGCTGTGCTCTTCAGTTGTTCCAGTTTCCGATTCCAGTTGTCGACTCTGGAACAGAAAACAACAAGAGAACGAATCATGACATAGGCCCGGGGCTACCTCTGTAGATATGATGGTATTTAGTTATAGGATAACTTTGTTACATTTATCAGTCTGAGATCTTGTTTCATACAAAACAAGAAAAATTCAACAAAACCAACTCTCTTCCTTATGAACTTTGTGATGGTACCGTGTTGTCGAAAGCAAATCAAAGTTCAAAAGAAGTCACAACTCACTGTCTCAGGAAAATCAGCGGGACACTGAATACCAGACACAGTTCTACTGCAACGAAAGACATTCACGATGAATAAAACTGAAATACTATTTCACCCATACACTATATCAAAGAGATGAAGAATAACTAGCCAAGGAAGTCACCTCATTTCTAAAATAAGTATGCATTATAGGAAGTAAAGATGAAAAGTTAAGTGTGATCCAATTGGCCATTTAGGCTCATTCTTTGTAATTTGTGATCAAATCACAATGCCATCAACTATTTTATAACAGCACAGCCACTTCTGTCCAAAAAAAAAAATCTGGCTGCAAAACAGTAACTCAAATTTCAAATCACATTTTTTGATATTGTTGCATCTTATGCCTGCTTTTATTGTGTCAGTAACCAAAAAAATAGTTTCTCCTGCTCAGGAAATGCCAACTACAGCAAGACGAAGTAGTTCTCCACTGTCTACAGATTGAACAGAACCGATTTGAAACTGTGAAGACAGACTTCCCAGCATTTAGTTATTGAAATCATTCCCAATCTTTCTATAATTTCCATTACTGCCACAGCAAATACTCTGTGCATTTACATATATATCTCAGCATTTAGGACGCAAATCAGTCTCCATCTTTTCACTAAAGTAGGTTTTCCTGATATTCCTTCTATATTTGTGGGTACTCTGTACACATTTACTGCACCTATACTGCATAAGGATAAGTAACTTAATAATGATTAAGTTGGAGAGAGTCCAACAAAGGGCTACGAAGATGATGAAGAGGCTGGAGCATCTCTCCTATGAAGAGAGGCTGAGAGAGCTGGGACCGTTCAGCCTGAAGAAGAGAAGGCTCAGAGGAATCTCATCAATGTATATAAATACATGAAGGGAAGGTGCAAAGAGGACAGAGCCAGGCTCTTCTCAGGGGTGCCCAGTGACAGGACCAGAGGCACAGGAGGTTCCCTCTGAATCAGGAAACACTTCTTCCTTGTGAGGGTGACCGAGCACTGGCACAGGTTGACCAGAGAGGTTGTAGAGTCTCCATCCTTGGAGATATTCAAAAGCCATCTGGGCACAATCTTGTGCCATCTTGGGCACAAACCAGCTCTGGACCAGATGACTTCCAGAGGTCCCTTCCAACCTCAATCAGTCTGTGATTCTACAACTTTTTTTTTCTGAGCCAGTCTCATACTCTTCCCATCAGTAAAATTACCTGTGAGAAGACATTATATTCACCCCACCTTCCCAGAGAGTGCTCCTGGCACAACAGAACAGATTCTTACAACATACATTTCAGTGGTTTCTCCAATTTAAGTTAATCAGTGTTCTGAAGGGGATTGTCAAGAACAACAACTCTTCCTGGATGACGTGCTGACTCATGCACATCTCACTGCTGCAACAGTCACTGCAGTCCAGAGCCACCCTGCACTCCTTTTTATCACAAGTCCTTTTTGGGCTGATATAATCTTGCACAACCTTTGAGATGAGCTGAAGAAATCCCCTTATGAATTATCGCTCAAGAAGAGAGAGTATGCTTAGTGTTGCTCAAAACAAATTGAGGTTGTGTATGCACGCATGAAAGAAATGACCGTTTCATGAATTTCTCTCTTTCACCCTCAACTCTATGACAAAAGACAAGGATTTTTCTCCATTGGGTGTGGTTGAAACTAGAGAAGATCCCACAAGTATGCTAAAGTTGTTTAAGGAGGCGAAATTCAAGGTTAGCCAGCAGGAAAAGGGTAAGAGAGCAGAAAGACAAGTAATTATTTTCAGGCTAGGTGAGAAGCGTCCAGCTGATGCAGAAGAAGAGATGGTGTTATCAGGTATTTCAGCAGGCAAAGTGGTACGACTTGTGTCAAAAAAGGAAGACAATTTTAACATCAGCATTTGGTATAGACTGGAGTAAAATCAAGAGATACTCAGAAGCAAACCAAAGTGATTTTGAAAGCAAGATTTTTATGCCTTTAGATTACACTGCCCTCACGGGAGAGGCAATAATACCAACTTATGCTAACATCCTATCAGAGGATTTAGTTGAAAACGAGGCAAAAATTGGTTCAGCGTGTTATTTTGTTCAGCTAAGCTCCTTTTCATCAAAATTGAATCTGCCCTTTATTCTTATTCATCTTCTTATCACAAGAGAGCTGGGGTAGCAGATTCAAGGGGTTGTGAAGGAGATGATTTCCAACAGTAGAGGCAAGCGAGGGAAAGGAAGGCAACCCCTACACATACACACACACTCCCACCACAGGGCTCTGAAATATATGCTTCAAGTGACTTTTGGGCCACTTTCTGCCTCTATTTCAAGAAGCTGTAACTCAGCCAAGAAGCTTGCAGTGCTTCAACTTGCCCCTACAGAATGCCTTAAGGCATACATTAATAGACATCAAAAGAGGGGCGGAGGGAAGGCAGCATCCCTGTGTTGCTCACAGTGACCAAAAAAAAACCTCAAGAGGCTTTTACAATCCAGTATAAGATGTCAAGATATTTTAGCTCAAAACGAGAAACAAACATTTCCATGAAGTTAACCCACTGGGGTGCGACAGAGCCACAAAGCCCATGTTAATGGTATTTTCAAAGTAAAAGGAATTGTTAGATGAGGTGTAGAGCAGCCCAGAAGAGGAGGAGGTAAGTTATAAGCACGTGGTTAGCTCTGGCATGAACAGGTAGGAAGGCAAAGCTGCCTACAAGCAAAGAACAGACAGGTGCAGCTCTCTTCACCCATCTCCTCCGTTTAAATATTAAGTTGGCTTTTGCCTGCTTTTATTGAGGTGGCTTTATACAATCATGTTTCTTCATTACTGTTTGATCTCTTTAATTACCTACATTAAACTACTCTATTAGGTCACTGCAAAACGTAAGAGGACAAACACATGGATTTATTTAGGCACAATCAATCCTTAAGATAACATTTGACCTCAGGTTTTTCCCAGCTTATTGGAGGAAGCATTTTTGTACAAGCTCTTCTTCCACAGCTTCCAGCTGAGTCTTAACAGCTGCAAATTTGAGCAGAATCATTTGACATTGCCTCTCCCCTATAAAACATCTCACAACAAATTTTCAATTTTCCCATTGGTCTTTCTTCTTTGAAATTATATTATATAAATGTTTTACTCCAGTCTTAAAACCAGGACAAAAATATAATACCTGAAGTACGCTGTTAAGGTAACAAGTGTTACTCCTACTCAGCATCTCATTTTCATTAAGAAAGAAGACAGACTTCTTTTCAGTCGCTTGATAATCTTTTGCATTATCCGAAGTGTGTTTTTGGTTTTTAATCTATTTATCAAAAGCACTTGACCAGAAAAATGAATGCAAACTTTGTGGCTACTCCTAAGGGCATACTAAAAAAGAAATGAATTGTTATTGGATCAGAGTGGTTATATTAGTTATTCATAAAGCAGTATTGTATCCAAGCAGACCTCACCCTTGCTTAAAGATCTAAAAATAAACAACATAAAAATGGGGTAATAAAAAGAGTTGGGGAGAAACCTAGAGCTGTGGTCTGTGTGGATACTAAAAACACAGGCAAAAGCAGAAGACAATATCTAGAGGCAAAATTTAGTCTCTCAGGGAAGAAGCTGAAAACAGGGACTCCTAAA